TAGCTTTTATTAAAATTTAATTATTCGCTACTGTTTCGGGAGAGGTTCTATAAGGGTTGGTAGCCACACTGCCCCTCCAGTGCGGTTTGGAGGAGGTGGTGTATTGTTCTAGGCTGGGATTTACACTGGAGGACGAACTGGACTCCCATATTGCTGAAGGCAACCAACCTCACAGCAGTCCGTTACGTCCAAGAAATTATCGAAGAATACATCCCTCCAACCAGGGATCTCATTGGCAGTGATTTTCAATTTCTGGTTGGTAATGCCACAACTCAAAGAGGTAGTTATAATATTTAGATAACCTTCTGCCCTTTCTCTCATTGTCTCCAGACTTCAATCCCATTGAGCACATGTGGGATGGCATTGAAGAAAAGGATTTTCGATTACCATCCACAGCCAGTTGACCTGCAACAACTGAGTGCAGCGTTGCAACATCTATAGTGAGAAATTCCTTATTTAATTAATGACAACCTTATGAACAGTACGCCTAACAGGTGCTCAAAGGTTTTATCTAACCGAGGACATTACACACTGTATGCCCAATAAACCAAATCATTGTACTATTTCTAATTTCTCATAAATTTGAACACAATTTATACTAAAAATAAAATAAAAAACGCAAGGGAAAATAAATATGTACTACAAAATTGGCAACATCTCTATTCATTTTTGAGCAGTTTAATTTGCCGGCCCTAAAACTAAAAAAAAAAAAGAATTAGGGATTATAAGCTTATATGATTTACAAGCGTTATACCATGTTGCATGCACCCCATATTTGTCTGCTTCTATTATGATTGATACTGAATATCTCCCTGATAAAGCCATTAAAAAATGTCATCAAAAGAAACAGTTGTGGTTGTGAGGATAGGTATCTTATTTTTGAATAATTTTATCACACCGTTATAACTATCCTCATAGTGTAAACCCTCATTATCTATATCAATTGAAATATTTCATTCTCCTTTGTAGACAAATTCTTTTTACTACAAATTGATCGTTCGAGCTGTTAATTTCGGGGGGCCCTTCCGGAAGAAAAAGGGCGCCTTTCTTTGAATCCGAAAATCGATTATTAGAATACGACCGCTCACCTGTTGCTTCAGTTAGTAAAACAGTATGGCTGCCCCGGCCAGTCGAACCGTTTTACCCGCGGCCCGGTTGTAATTTTCTTACTTTTCTTCCTGTTTTCCTCACGCTTTTCTTCTTTATTCGGTTCACCCTTTTTTGTGCCGACAACCACGCGAGTGCCAATCCTGGAACCCGAAACAAAGAAGACTGTGTGGATTCGACGAACGGTGAGTTACCTTATTTCCAATGATTCTTCCACTTTTTCTCCGCTTATCGTTCTCCCCTTTCTTTTTAATTTAATATTTACACAGTCCGCTACATATATTTAATGGTCCTGCGGTCAAGGAATTTAGTTTTATGTACTGATATAATTAATATTACATTCTCGTCGGTATTGTTCGAATCTCGCGTACTGCGTGAAACGCTACGACCCACTGCTTGCCATATCGTGTCGTCTTGTTATATTTTTTCTTGTTCAATTTCAAGTTCGACTAGTTAATAAAATTTTTAGCCCTTATTCAGTTCGAAAACTAACTATATTAAAGGTTATTTAAATTTGCTTGCGTTCTAGGTGTCCTAAGGAGTAATAATCAATATAATAAACAGTTAAATTTAATTTGAATATTTTGTATGCAAAATAAACTGCATTTATTTTTTCTTCTTCTTTCACGTACACTCTACCGAAAGTTACAACGATAGAAAGTTATAATCACTTATTGTTTATTTAGCGTTATTAGTTTCTAACGAAGTGTTCATAATTTCATCTCTTTCTCTTTCACACTTATTAGATCAACTTAGGAAATTCCTTCAACTGGCTTAACAATTTAAAAGTATAAACCGCACTGATAGTGAAAATCTCATTAGCAAATTTAAACCCCGCTGTTCAAAGGATGCAGAAATATTTCGCTCGCATGTAAGCTGTTTAAAACATTGCAAATAAATTAAATCAAGACAATTTGAATTTTTTTGGGTTGGGCATGATTGAAAAAGAATTAAATTTGGAAATCAAGAATGAATGAGGCAGAATTTCGTTTGATAAAACGTTTTTCTTGGGCAAAACTGTCGCACCTCAATATTCTCCTGAGGCGAATTATGATCAAGCAGTTCAAACCTCTTCGATATATATAATAAACCTAAACTTCCCAAAATTAATATAAATATATTTTCTGGGAATTTCCAAAGGTGGATGAAATTTGTCTCATTGTCTTGGTTATGGTTCTTAAACCCAACAAATAAGAAATTGTTTGAAGCACAGAACGTTCATCAGGAATTTCCAACATTTAAAATTTTTATCGATTCTGTTAGTGACAGTGATGGTGATGGTAATGGATGGAGGATACCAGGAGGAAGCGGGGTTTGTGCTCACCAGGCACTGCAGCTTTTTGGCTTATTCTACATTCCTAGTTCCCTACATCAGTGTAATCTGATGTATTAGGCCATTATCTGTCACTGCTTCTATTTCCTAGAAATGATGAATGCTGGAGTGAGTGTGTTGTTCAATCTTTTTAAAAAGATAGTTCCTACACACAGTAAGTTGTTTTCAAAGATCCGGATTTCGAGCTTGTATCTCATCACAGGTTGAAGGAGATCTACAACCTGATGATGAGCTACAAGCTCGAAATCCGGATCTTTGAAAACAACTTACTGTGAGTAAGAACTATCCTTTTAAAAAGATTGCTAAAATTTCATTCCCTCGGTTTTTTTATGTGTGCTTGGTTATGTTTCCGTTGAGCCGTTGCTTTGCATTGGAAGATGTTATGGGTGGCTGTTTCTTCCTCCTCATTACATAATCTGCAAATGGGATCATCATGGGTTTAGTAGATATTTTGGCAGATGCCAGTGACCAGTTAATAAAATTCTTTCAGTCTGACCCTCTCCAATTGCAGCAGTGAGTTTCCCAGTCAGGGTGAGGGTTGTTTTAGCATAAGTTTACGGTGGTTAGCGCACCTAGAGTTTGTATACACGTCTCCTTTTGTTTTATTTGGATCGAGACTGTGATGGAGGATTTTGTATATTTTTTTGTTATCCCATGTTCAGGACCTATGTATGGTCTTGCAGATCCTCTTCTGACCAGTGTGTCTTCTTTTTCGTTACCCAAAATTATTTTGTGTCCTGGTACCCAAGGTATCATCAGATTGTTGTGCTTTCCCAGGTTTTGGAAATTTTGGATGCATTCACTGACTAATTTTGATGTGAGTTTGTTACAAGTTAATGCTGCTTGGCTATCCGACCTAATAAGGACTTTTTGCCAGTGTAACCACTTTTAAAGTTTCCTAGGCCACATGATGGCATGTATTTCTGCTTGAAAAACCGAAGTGTACTTCCCTAATGAGTTTAATTGTTCATATTTTGGTCTTGTACAAAAAACATCCGACCCGGTTCATTGGTTTGTTTTGGAGCCATCTGCATACCATATTATTGTACCTGATGCTCTCCTGAGTCTTCCTCTCCTTTATAGTCTGTTGAGATTTTATAGTATGTGGCAAAAAATGTTTCAGGGATCAATTCCCCATTTCTAGGAATGGGTGTCAGATTTTGTTAATTATAGTTGTGTGCTCGAATTGGCTCCGGAGACAACTATTATTTTAGAACGAAGTACGCCTTCTCAAACTTCTTCAAGCAATTTGAGACATGAGTGTACATTAATGACCACTCAGCAACCGTTCAAAATCAACATTTTCAGTTTACCCCCTCATCAATGGATTGTTGCCCCTTGTGTTTTGTACCGCACAACCTATTGCGGTGTCCTAGTTTGTTATCTAAGAACGTCAAAGAACATGGAGTATCAACTGGGGGAGAACTGTGGAGGGACTCAGAAAATGTTTTAATTGTTTGAGGAATCACCTCTGACATACTTGTAAAACAAATAGCCGATGGAATTCTTGTGCTAGTAACAAACACCACCCTTGGTTCTTTCCATATTAAAGCAGAAATGGATGCTATTCTCAGAATGTTTATCCTCTCACAATTCCCGCTGATCCGCCGCATCTCATTAAGGCAGAGCCACTTGCCATCCGGACCATTTTCACACGGATCTTACTAGGAAAGTTTCCCGGAAATGTTGCCAAAAACTTGATTTCTCTTCTCACTTGAACCACCACGCTTAATATCATTGTACAGCTCTTCTGGCAAATAGAAGAAGTAAGTAATCCCGAAAATGTGATTTGTGAAGACCATTTTCGCAACACGTTTTACAGGATGTCATCCTGCCAGTATGTGGTATCCTTGCTGTCCCAAGAAGTAAATGCGATCTATTACGTGCCTTTGGCGCGATCGCCCTCTTACCTTTGAAGAGTTTAGTACATTCCTAACTCGCATTGAGGCCGTGTTAGCCGCTGTGTCCAGCTACCCCCATGATGACACAGATTACCTCAACCCTGGATACTTCTCAATCTTATTAGCTCCTCCTGAGATTGAGCTAACCAGCGAAAATCCAAATCATTTAAACCTAAGGCAACCATTGCAGCACGCTCTTTCGAGAAGAGATAAGTTTCTGGAAGAGATGGTCCTTTCTCATCTTCACACTTCGATAAAGCGCCCTAAATAAACCTCAAGTTCTCCAACTCCAAAACTTGGAGACGTCATGTTCAACAGTGGCCAGGATACGAAATCTCTTCACTGGCTAATCGGAAGAATCGAACGCCTTTTCTCGAGGCAGAATGGGGCTGAATAACTAATTACTTTCTCTATGAAAATCCATATCAAGATTGATTCAGAGTTTTTTTTTTTTTTCTTTTCGTTGTAACATAATCATATTGTCAAACCAAGTGGTCACCTAATTTATTATTTAGCTTGCTTCCATGGGAAAACTTGTATTTATTAATGTATATTTTCATTCAAAATTAAAGTTAATTTTGGGTGTTCGGTCGCGCTGTTAATTTCGAGGGGCCCCTTCCCGAGAAAAGAGGCACCATTTGCATTCGATTAATAGAAGACAACCGCTCACCTGTTGCTTCAGTTGGTAAAACTGCGTGGCCGCCCCGGCCAGTCGAACCGTTTTCCCCCGCGAGCCGGTTGTAATTTTCTTACTTTTCCATCTGTTTTCCTCACCTTTTTCTTTTCGCATCTTCTTGTTTATTCGGTTCACCCTCTTTTATGCCGACAACCACGCGAGTGCCAGTCCTGGAACCCGAAACAAAGAAGAATCTCTGTGTGGATTCGCCGAACGGTGAGTCCGTTGATTCTTTAACCTCTTTTTTCACCTCTTATAATTCTACTCTTTCTTTTAAATTTAATATTAACACGTCCGCTACACAAATTATATAATAAACATTTATGTTTAGTGGTCTAATTGACCATATTAATTATTTCACTTAATTATTCTTTTTCTATAAGGTCTTGGTTGAGATGGAAAAGTTAGTGTCATGAGCGGGATTCGAACCTACGACCTTCGGCTATTTGAAAAATGGCAAAAAGAGGTAAAATGCGAAAGGTTGTAGGTTGAGATGAAGAATTGGTTCCGAGTAGATCAAAGTCACTATAGCTCACGTAGTTAGTTAGACCTGCAGCTGCATATTTAGCCGGAGGTGGTTGGTTCGAAGCGTGACACTAACGTTTTCATCTCGACCAACACCTTACATAAAAAGAATTATTAGTAGTTATATAATAAAGTTAATGTGAAATAGTACATATGTCGTATACCAAATCAGGGTATGTAAACTATTGAAAAATACACCACGAAAACGGACATAAACAATAAAGTGTTGAAAAGCACTCGTCGTGTTTACTGTAAATATCGTATTTGCTGACCACTTTTGTAACGGGTAATTTGGAAGATAGTAATTGTCAAGAGTGTCCGATAATATAACTATATTGTGCTCAATAAATTGTGAAATACAAACTGTACGGATCCCCCGCTCGTTTCATTTTAAAGATACATTTATATATAATGCTATCCTACCACTCATTGCCCTCTCTCATGGAAATATTCAAACGTTATTCACATTCCTAAAGCTCACAAACCTCCCAATCCACAAACCCATCAGCCTTCTTCCTTCAATGTCCAAAATGTCTTGAAAGACTCTTTTTAAAGTACTTAATACTCATTCTAGACACTCGTAACATTCCTTCTCACCAATTCGGCTTCCGTCCTCATCATTCCACGATCTAACAAGGCTTCAGAGTTGTCGACCCTGCTCTAGAGAACAAAAAGTATTGTTTGGGTGCGTTCTAGACGTAGCACAAACTTTTCGCAGGCTTTGGCACCCGGACATGCTTTATAAACTTAAACATTTACTAAACATTACTATATTCACTTAACCTCAAATCCTATCCTTCAAGCGGCGCCCCAAGGGAGCAGTCTTGGTCCCATCCTTTTATCATTTATTCTACTGACCTACACCCTTCATCATCCCCACCTATACAGAGGATACCGCAATTTTGCCCTGTAATTCGAATCCTATCCAAGTGCCTCCAACATCTAAGAACGTTTTGAGCTTATCAAAGACTTTGTAAAATGTGGAGGACGAGACGGAATGAAGAAAAATATACACAGTCTACGTTTACATTGAAAAAATCAGCTTTTCCCTCTACACAACTTAAGAGACAACAAGTTAACAGAAGACTTGAACAACTACGAAGACTTCTATCACCTTAATCTGTCTTGACCGTCAAAACTAACCTTATACCAGACGTTATTGCGACCGTTTTGGACATACAGAATGAAACTGTGTGGTTCTGCCAATTCAGTCAACATCCAATGAATCCAATCCTCCCAACAAAAGTCCTCAATTGTCAAAGCTCATTACTACGTCACTATCCATAACTAAGGGATCCATTCCTGATTCCAAAATGTTATACACCAACCTCTCTATTCATCCTAACCCTACTGCTTGAGCCGTCTTCACACATCCCCCTGCTGAGAACCCGTCACGTCGCCCTAACCGTCGATGGACTGAGACCTTCTAGGCCCTTAACCCTTACTGAGTGCCAGCAATGGCTAGTTTCTCATGGCATGTCTCCAGCCAGCACTGGCATTAGTGTTAATGCTGTGACCGCGTGAAAAAAGGTTTTGTGATCACATTTGTAATATGTACTAATAAGTGTAGGGTACTATACTTATTAATCCCATACTTATTACTACAAAATAATTTTAAACAACTCGAAAATAGTTGATTGGCCAGAATTTCTTTTGACCTTTAGGAATTATATTTAAAAATAATTTTCCGAAGATGATTCCTTAAGTGGAATTCGTGGTAATCCTTCACCTCTAAGAGCCAATACTTTACTTTTAAAAATTAAAACAATTAAACTTATTTAACATAGGAGGACTATGATGGATCTGATTTCTCGGAAGGTAAATACATTTTTGACTCCTTGGCTGATAAATATTATTTACAGTTGTAAAACTCGTGTCGAGTAAGTTGTGAGAAGTGGGGTCTGAGTTGTACGAGGAGATAAGATAGAGGAAGATTTCTAGGGAGAGGGTCTGAGCAACTTGAATAATCAAAACTTAAAATTCTCCACCCTCGACCGTAAACAATAGGAATTTCAATCTAATGCTTAAGTCTTTGGCTCAAACTTAATTTATCTTAAGCATAAAATCCACATCATAGGAATTTAAACGTAATCGACTGTTATGTGACTTCTATTTGAACCTATATAAACAAAAGAGTTGCTTCAGGAGTTGGTGAAACGAGAACAATAGGTTTAAAGGTCAGACTTATTTCAGAAAGACCTATTTTCTTCTGTATCTGCGTTTATTACAATACGCCTAGTTTGACTTTCAAGAGTTCTGTTATTTGAGAGAAAACATTTTATCTCTGTAAGTAGGTAAAGTAATTCCTGTCATACAGGAGGGCTTATTTTCCGAATACCCGTGGGGTCAAAACACATTATAATATTTTGTATATTATTCTCAATTAAAAAACGATGGACTATGCCGGGATTCGAACTCAGGACCGCTAGCTGGTCAAATACGAATCGGACGCCTTAACCCGCCACCGCTGTCTTCTCATTTTATCTCAGGATACCATTTTTATACCAAACAAAAAGTTTCAATGATTCTTATTAAATTGTTCAAAATGCCCACCTTTCTGAAGCATGCAAGCCGGGCATCGTCTCTCCTAACAGATTTTATTGCTCTCAAGCGTTTTGTTCCACAGAACCTTTTTATTTACTTCTTATTGTCCTTGTTTAAATAAAAGTGTAAAAATCTTAATGACTATTTTTCTAATCGATTGTAACAAAAAATCAAGTTATTAGCAATTAAATGCTAATTTACGCTGGTAATAACTAACTTTTGAGAAATTATGAACATTTAAAGCTCATTAGTAGAGGCAGCTATTCGGTAATCGCCATATCTGTCAACATTTACGAATTAAGAAAATTTTACACTTTAATCAAGCCCTTTTAAAAGAAAGTTTATATTTTATTTTGCTTAAGGTTACAATATTCAAAACAAATGAATCAAATAGGATTTATGTTCAAAATGCTCTTTCCATTAGAGTAGAAAAAGTTCAATTTACCTGAAAAGAAATTTATCTTGAATACATTGGGTAGAAGACTTTAGAATGTAGGGACTCTTAAGTCCAGATTGATAACTTCTAGCATGATAACTTCCTGCAATATTCACTTCTGTTCACGAGATACCCTGTATAAAGAAAGTTATACGTATTTACGAGTCAACTATTATGACCAGCTTTCAAATTCAATTTAGACGCCGTTGCGCACTTTTCGAGGTCCAGAAAATGAATATCAGTTTTGTTTCTATCTAAAAAATATTTTAACTAATTTCGCTACCTCACTTGGTCACAGATAATGTTTTTAAATAACTGCGACCATCTTCCAATACGGTTTGGAGGTAGTTTAACAATTTTGGGGTCCGGAAAACGAATATCACCATTTTTTTCTTGTAAAAAATATTTTAACTCATTTATTTTTATATTTATATATTAGCGTTTGGTCACAAATTATGTAGTTGAATAAATAAGCCCAGCTTCCGAGTACAATTGTGACGTAGTTTAGCACATTTTAGAGCCAGAAATTTAATTGTAAAAAAATATTTTCACCAACTTTGCGATCTAGCTGAGAAGGCTAAATTGTTTTATACAACAGCCTAATCGGATACCGTACTCTTATATAAAAAATAAGAATGGAGTTCCACAAACTATATAAGTAAAAATCTATATTGGACACACATTCGTATTTATTTGTAGATAAATCCTTTTTAGGATTGCGAAATTCAACGTTTAATATAATATTTTATACGAAAATAGTACACCTGGATTTTGAAAAAAAGAAAAAAAAAAGATAGCCACTCCTGCCATTGAAAAATGATAAGGGAGTGTTATTGCTATCTATGATTGATATTGTGTACGAAGGAATAGTTTTTACCTCGCGTTCAGTGTGCCAAAGGCGGCAACAGAGGAGTCGACCCCTCGGGCATTATAGTGCACGTCAACAATTCATTTTAAAACGAATCTATCGAACCGTGTGCGTTTTGAACAATGACCCGAGGCGAGGTAGAAATCTGGAAAGTGTTAATCCAGCATAATGGGCCGATTGATGTTTTCGAAATGAGCGCACGCAGCTAGTGAGGCACACTTGGCCAGGGCGATTCTGCTGAGGTGACGTTTCGGAGACATGTTCGCTTCTAACGATCCGAAGAATCGAACAGCTCTCCTGTTTTGAAACAGGACTCCTGACCCTCGTTTTTCCACTGAGTCATGGAATTTCGACGCTCCCGGGCCACGAAGGCACGCAAAAGGGCAGTACTGGGACAGTCGAGCTATTTTGAAAGTTATCAAAACGGTATTCCTTCTTCATGAGAGATTTTGTAATTCTCCATTGAATAAATTATAAGTCTCTCCTACATCCCAAAGAATGGGACCTCTTATATTCGCATTGGTCAAAATCGGCTGTCGAATGTTTACCAACATTGAGCACGATAAGGGACGCCTGTTCCCGTACAAAAAGGGCTCTGTCTGGAAAGAGGAACGCCGTTTCCAGAAGGTCAAGGCACAGACGTGAGCAATTCGCGGTATCTGGGAGCAAACATTTATACAGGAGATTTAGAACTACAATCGCCTTTCTTGAAAACCGCGGCTAAACGCAAAACACTGTTATTATATCTAACGTTCTGCACTCTAATTATTCGAATAACTCATCCCAAAACTAGGACGTGTAATTTAGAAAAGTCATCATAAGCCATATAATATACTCATCTGT